TGCGGCGACTGCGGCAGGGTTGCAACACGTGTCTAGGTCAAACATGCGGTCACGACGACGGTGTCGGCTGGAATGTTGTCTTGGTAGACCTTTGAACCGAGCAGCATGACCTAAAGGTTTAGATCATTGCTTAGCATTCGGGAGGACATCGGTTCAATTCCGAATGAGTCTACTCAGGCTGAAGTTTTCTTGTAGTCTCATTGGATCACATGCGCAGTAATATTCCACAGATAATCCTTCACTCTCTTCTGCCTTCATTTCGTCCGCCTCATCTTTCTTATGTCAACAACCATCACCTCATTTCCACCTAAAAGGAAGCTAAAGAGGGTCTTCCGCTCTACCCTCCGGCACAGCCCGAAAGGACTGCCCGCTAATCAGCCTTAGTAGCTGGTGGGAACGAAACACCCAGGTTTTTTTTTTAGTTTTATGGACTTTAAGCGATCGGCGATCTGCAGTTATTTCCGATTATAGGTTCTATGCAGACAGATACCTATAGCAGATTTTCATCCAAATCACTTGTTCAAAAGTGTCTAGATCGCTTCATGTCTTCAACGATCTTTTGAAACATCGGAAAATCTAGGTCCTTGACAACGTTGTCTTTGTGAACTTCGTTAACCAAGGCAAGCATTTTGGAGGTAGTTTTACCCAAATGAAAGCTAAATTTTTGCCCCAAAAAAAAAACTCAAAAGTAGCTTTTGCGTCACGAGTGACTTACTATGTCAAAGTCCCGCCCTGTACGTTGCTTATTTCAACATTTTATCATACATCCTTTCAAGGAGGAGCACACTAATAGCAAAGAAGGTCATCTCATTACTTTACGGACAAACCTTGTATATCCCCTATTATTATAAGTAGAACAGTAGTTAGTTTCTACAAACAAAAAAGAAAGCGAAGCAGAATATAACATGAAATAAAGACGTTCCGGGACAACAACAGAAGATGAAAAAGCCGCCTTTATCTCCATTTTGTTTACTACACATGCCGTGCGACAGTAATAAATCACATTAGCTTGTGGAGATGGGGGAGATTCCTAGGTACACACATACGTAAATACACAAATAAAGTTGTACAAGTACAAAGTGTAACAGTGATGATAAAATAATTTAATTAATTTCTAGAGATAAGAGCAAAATACCGCATAAACTCCCAATCAGTAAAAGCAATAAACATTATCTTTTATGCTGCAGCAGTAATTATTTTATCGTTTATTGTTTTGCCCATTTGTGACCGACCTACTTTTATTAAAGGCGACACGTGCGTGGTTACTTTTATTAATCGTAAGATTCCTCACCCAATTTAATAAAATGTCGACAATGTAGGTATCTATGCTCGCGAACGGTTAATTTAGAAATTCGAGAAAGGTTGTTAAAGGTGTATGTTTGGAGCGAGGCGCTGTACGGGTGCGAAACATGGACAGTGAGCGCGGCGGAAAAGAAAAGGTTAGAAGCGTTCGAAATGTGGAGTTAGAGGCGAATTATGAGGATACCGAGGATAGAGGTTAGAAATGAAGAGGTATTAGAAAGAATAGGAGAACAGAGGACTTTATGGAAGTCAATAAGAAATAGGAGAGATTTGTAGGACACCTTCTCAGGCATGAAGGTCTAGTCAGGGACATATTAGAAGCAGAAACGGGAGTTAGGAAGGGTAGAGATAGGCCTAGATTAGATTACTGTTCGGAAATAGTTAAGGATGTGGGTTGTTCTAGTTTTAGGGAAATGCAAAGATTAGCTCAGGATAGCAAAGAGTGGAGGTGTGCAACCAGTCTTAGGACTGACGATCTTATGATGATGAATGTAGGTATCTACTAATTATTACTTATCATACAATAAACAATTGTTCATTAAATGCTCAAGTTCAATCGGAATAAACAAATTGCTCCAGCAGTGTGTTAATAATTAATTAACAATTAAAAATGAATATTCTAGGTACCTCCTAATTTCTTTTATATTTTTAATGTTGCTAACCTAATATTTAAGAGGATTCATTAATAGTTCGGTTAAGTTGGCCTAGTTTGAAATTTAGATATTATTTTTGTGAACGTAGCCAGTCTTTTTTTGACATGGCTCAAGGGTAAGCCACCCAATTGTAAGCTTTATACTCCATATAACCCAAACGCCTTTAGTTACGTGTTCATATTCATACATATTCGTATTTTCCACCACCGCCTCTTGGTCAGTAAATGACATTTTCTTGGGTAAATTAGTAGTCACGTCTATAGAACGAAAAATCTCAAAAGTTCTCGATTTGGACAAAGTAATCGCCACCTGGCCACCCCAGCCAGTGCAGTCAGGCAATAGAATAAAAAAGTTGACGAATTCCGATATGAAAATGTATGCGTTTAACCCGATGGCAACATTGGCCAGACAGGACGTGCCCGATAATGGCGCAGATTATTAACTTGCAAGCAGTACGCACACACACACACACACAAGCACGTACTAAAGTTGTTATAACTTAACATTCATCTTGCCTCGTACTCCAAACTCCAAAGCCAACTCAGCAGTCAGCCAGTCACCAAAGAGCAATCAATGAGCAGATGTTCGAAAAAGGCATTAACAAAGAGCCGACATTAAATACGATACCATAACACATTTTTACTCTGCCCATAAAACTCCTACAGTCCATGGCACAAATAATTCTTAAGTACACTTTTAACAGGCAAAGTAGGTAGTAGGTATTTACATAATATAGGTACATACATATAGAAAAGAAGGATGAAATTGTACACCTAGTAATCTTTTTGAAGCGAGAACAAACACATCCGGTGACGCTGAATATTAAAAATGATGATTAAAATTATAAAAAACTCATCATCATAAGGTTGTCAGTCCTAATACTGGTTGGACACGTACCTCCACTCTTTCCTATCCTGAGCTAAACTTCGCATTTCCCTAAAACTAGAACAACCTACATCCTTAACTATTTGCGAACAGTAATCTAATCTAGGGCTACCTCTACCCCTCCTAACTCCTGTTTCTGCCTCTAATATGTCTCTGATTAGACCTTCATGCCTGAGAAAGTATATCCTACCAACCTATCTCGCCTATTTTTTATTGACTTCCATAGAGTCCTCTGTTCTCCTATTCCTTCCAATACCTCTTCATTTCTAACCTTTTCTACCCACGTTATCCTCATCATCCGCCTATAACACCACATTTCTAACGCTTCTAACCTTTTCTTTTCCGCCGCGCCTACTGTCCATGTTTCGCACCCGTACAACGCCGTGCAAACATACACCTTTAACAACCTTTTTCGAATTTCTAAATTAACCGTTCGCGAGCATAGAAGTGACAATAAAAAAGAAATATCCACCAATTTCCTACGTATTTTCAAAGACTTACTAACAGTGGAGGTAAACCAACCAACTGTAAAATAAAGAAATCTCAAGACTGCTCCCCCACCAGATGTTTGTTTGCTCAATGATGTTGTATTGTAAAGTTAGTTGTAAACATTTGCTGCTGTTTCAGTTTGCAAGGTGATTAACACAAGTTTACATATACGATGATACGGTGTTCTTTCAAACTATATTTCAAGGAGCTACTGCTCTGCCCAATGTATTTCACAATACCTAATGTAAAGTGCATATTCGTACCTATTCACGTAACATATTATTTTGTTTGATGCTACGTAATTTCATATCTAACTGCTATTCCCCATGGGTTAAAATGCTTCAGATTAATTTGATATCACGAGCAGTGACACTGAATTCTTATCATATTAGCGATATGTTTGATGTTTTCATTCACTTTACGTAAAAATATTATAAAAATTGAAAGGAAATCAGTAAATTACTTTTGCCACCAACTGTACATGCATAACGTTCAGGGAAAAGAAAAGCTCAAATTCTCATAGCGAGCGAGCTTCACCTTCCATTACTATTTTAAGCGGTTTAGGTGCCCACAGTAAAAGCAGATGGTCCACGAACTTCACGGAAAGTACAATACGCAATCGCATATTTATTTAACAATGTACCTATCACTAGGCTTTTCTCAGTTTTAATACGTCAGTACCTAACCCAGGGGTTGGTAAACTTAATAAGAGATAAAAGAACCAAACTGTTTAAGTATTATCACTGCAAATCCAAGACCAAGGTCCGTGAGATTCTAAAGTACCTGTAACTAAAAATCATACTCTATTTTTTATACTATACGCGATACTAACCACGGCTTGAACACATGCAGCAAGTCATTCTCAAAGCACCACATGTGGCCACTGACTTAAGAAAAATTCATGGAAAAAATACCAGGAGAAAAATTTAGGTCAAGTATTTTTGTTTTGTTTTATACCACCATCAAAGTAATACTCAACAAAACAGATCGCGCACGATTACATATTTTTTCTGACAGGTGTAAAAATTCCACATCAGGTATCCATTAATTAAAGGAGTTCAACAAAACTTCCGCAGTTTTAAAATGGTTCGTCCAAGGACGATTGGTTTCCTTTTAATCTTCTTATTCTTGTTATGCAGACGTCTCGTTGCGCGTGTCGAAATATCGAAATGAACGGTTTGACTTTGAACTACCACAGGCGTACGAAATGTCGTTAAATTGTTACTGGTCTAGGAACTTATTGTTATTATCAGACGTCAAAGTCAATAAAATTTTAATGCCTACACTACATCCGGATTTGAAGATACTAATCTGGAACCGTTATACGTATTCCAGGTGAATTTTAAAAAACTGCTAGTGTAAAAAATGTCTTATCGAGAATTTATTAATACGTAATAATAGAAAATCACTAATTTTTCAAAAGCTATAAAACAAAATCTTCGTACAATTATTCTCCATTAAGTTTAAGCAGACACAACTACAACTCTTGACCTTTTCGTAATCTTAGTTTTTGAAATGATGGGAACGGAGCATAGTAGCACACATTTCTGGAATATGCCAAACGAAAGTTACATTTTTAATTTAAGGATTAAATAATGTAAATAGAAAAACAACAAAGGACACCGAATGACACAACGTGGGCAAGTAAATTTGCAATGCAAAGAATCTTACCATTGTGATACTACCTTCTGCAGATTAGCGGAAGTATCAACCTTGCGAAACCATCACAAACCTACACAAACATGTTCTTCTTAGAGACACAGTTTCTGTTTGTTTCCGTTTCACCGACACTGGAACACGTTTTCCTTTACTCACTAAGTACTATTTACTTTTCACCCATATTTTTCTACAAGCGATTTCCACACAACGATAACATTACCAACCGTTAAATGTTCCAGAAGGAGACGAGGACGAAAAGAAGTGCATCATACAAAAACCAGAGAGTAACTAGACGGATATAGATCATTAAATAGTACAATACACTTACAAACGGACGGACAGACAAACGGACAAAGTTGGTCTGAAAGATGACAAAATAAAACTGCGCATTCTTAGCAATTAGAGACGCACTTAATTTCGAGAGCGTCAACTGGTCATTGAGCCCTCAGCAAAATACAACAACATAACGCGCGCATACGAAGAACTTTGCAGACATACAAACGCATTTGATATTGTACATAGGTGAATGCGAAATGCAACATTCACATGTGTACTTGTTTGATATATGAGTGCAACAGAACAGGAGAGAGGTCTAATTAAAAATAAACTGGCACCAGCTTACGTAGCTCGAACCTAGCCAACATTAATGAAATGCAAAGGAAATTGCGTTTGGTTAAGTCGGTGTATTAAAGGTTGAAACTCCAAAAAAAGATACACAAACTGCTGGAATTCTAAGTTGTCCAAAAAAATTGATCTTTCCTGTTTCAATTGATCCTAGATACCATTATGGTTTGTATCATCGTTTGGGTAAATCAGGAAAAACAAACAACAAAATAAAATTCAAACAGTTAAAATTTCTCCCTAGGAATTATTATCGGATGAACTTTTACTTGAAAAGAACCATATACTAACGGTAAAGAGACGCAAGTTTTAGATAAAAGACTTCCAAGCATCCTCAACTGTACTACTGCCCAAAATTTTCTAAGATCAAATCAATACGGGAAAGAATGCAGAATAATGATCCATTTATTCGAACTTTAAATTTATTCATTAATAAATTGTATTCTGAGAAAATTCCGAAATTTTATGGGAATTTAGGGTGAAGTCGAAATTTCCTTGCGAGTTGGTTCTTAAAACTTACAAACCTTTGTTAAAATTGAATAGAATGTTCCCTTATTCTTGTTTAACTTCCTGTGTACCTTCCTAGTCCACCAAGCTAACCGATAACCTAGTCAAATCTTGGGGCATTAATATTTCACAGATAATCTTTCATTCTCTTCTGTCTTCACTTCATCCGTCTCATCTTTTTCACCCGAACCACCACCCACCCATTCCCACGATTTCTGAAAGGAGGCTGAAGAGGGCCTTCCGCCCCACCTTTCTTAGTAGTCCGGCGGGACGGCTCGCCCACTAGCGCTATTGACTGGTGGGAATGAAACACCCATGTTTTTTCCTAGTCCTAGTAGGGTATCTTCGTTCTAGATCTAAATACTATTACTTCCTGTTGTCGAACATCATTGACAGCTGTCATCATCAGCCATCTTTTAGAGCTGAACCTCCCCACTTTCCCCAGATGCTCCATCCCCTAATACCCTCTTCATCTGTTGCTCCTTTATCATATGGTGCTCCTCTATTGCTGCAGCTTGTGATACCTCATACGTAGACACTTCAGCTTGAATTTTCCGCATTCTCCAACCATTCTTATCAACCAACATGGAAGACGAAAGGTACGTGTTGGTCCGATAAATCAACTGTGTTCTACTGACATTGCAAACTTATTTAATTTCAGAAACGTCAAAATGAGCCAAAAATTCAATTTGGAGTAAACAGATTCTAACAAGTTAAGTAGTCGAGGAATATAATCTATTTAGTACCAATAAAAATTGAATTCTGGCGTGGCCCGAAGAAAAAAATGCCGTAACAAAAGAGAAATAATTTTAATTTGCAAAAAACTGCGACCCAAACTAAAACTGTGCTTGATCTGACGTTAGCATGGTCACTCGACAATAGCATTACACTGTAGATACTTGTTTTTGAATCAATTTTGCAACAAGTGCAACAAATCAATTTTGGATCGAACACAGGTGTCTTGATTCTGTTCCCAATGATAAAATCTTGGTCAGATTCTCACAATCTTGGTCTGATTTTTACAATTTAATAGTCAGTACTGAATGGAATGTCCAAATTCTATAACTGGAACATCCCAAACAAGAGAAATGAAAATTAAAGAGTTTGCAATCAATGTAATATCAAACTAACACTAAAATATTCGAGGTAAAGAAAATTCGTATTGTAAAAGCCCCAACTGAAGTTGAAATAATATGAACATTGACTTGCGCCAATAACTGTTACATCTAACTTTCTGATAGATAGAAATTAGCAATAACACTCCCTTCCATCTTTTTCAAAACGTAATGATAGTTCAGCACAATTTGCAAGCACCTTTCATTCGTCCTGGTCACCTTTCAAAACTCACGCTTTCATCAGTAGTTCTCCAAAAAAGTGTTACCATTGTTCTTGAGCAACAGTAAAGAAAATCATTGCAAACTCGGATTCCTTACAGAAGAATAACAAATGGAACCAAAAAAATTTACATGCATTATATAAGTAATGCACTCATTGTATCTAAGTAATCCATTATGGCAAGCTGATGTCAACTGAAAAATACTTTCAGCGATCTCAGAACTGGAACTTCTCATTATCTAATTAAAACATTTCATTACCTGATTAATAAGTCGAATGTAATGGTCCTTCAGATTAGACCGTTAGAGCGAACAACAAAACGTAAATCCGCCATGCTTTATCTACTGAATTATATTCAAGTGGATAAGTCGCAAGTGCTTAGTTGTTTATGATATCAAAATAACCTAACTGCACTTCGTATAAATAATCGACGTACAAAACTTATGATTTTGTGGCTAAGTAATTTTTCTTCTACTGATTGGCAACATTACATGACATTTCATAAGATTATTTCAACAATTTACTACTTATTATGAGATTCATTAACGTTCGACAAGGTCCTTTTCTAATAAGGATACCTATCTGTCCTATAGCCACTACATGAAAGGCAGATAGCAACGATAACATGAGCAAAAAATTGTTGGTGGTAAGAATTCTGTTTCAATCTCCTTGGATCTCGTTAGCACGCCGTGAATTGTTCCAACAGAAGACGGAGCAACATATTTGTTACCTTTAAACAGCAACACAAACAAAATTACATCAAATGGCAACATATTAACGTAAAAGTTTAAAAACAATTATTATTTCAAAAATTAATTTAATTCTTCTGTGTATTAACTTCAGCTGAACAGTTGAAGATCGCAACAGTCCATTTAACTTATCGTTAGAGGGAGTCAATTGTAGATAACCTAACCTACCTCTTTGCTATACTACTTCAATTTTCGTAAAGGTTTCTAAAGGAATAATAACTACAGTGCCAGAGTGTAAATAATAACCACATTGTGTGCTCTTGCGACCGGGGAAATGTAAAATTATGACCACTTTACTGTGTTTACATTGTTACTCATTGTCCTCTGTAACTTTAATTTCAGTTGGACCCACTTATCCGAACTCATTAGTTGTTTAAGTTGGTTGGCCGAATTCTTTTAGAGTAGACCCTTATTTGAATTTCAAATTTATATGAGAAATGACAATATAAAGAAGATTCAATATTCGGGATTTATGACTAGGGTCTAGGATTGGTTCTCCTGCTTCATTAGGTCTGGATATGGAGCCATTTTCCGACATTTTGTCAGATGGGTGCAGTCCCAGCACTACGATTACGACTCCAATCGTAGGCACTTTGTTTTCAGGATAGAGATTATCCACTGTTTCGTTATTTTGTGTATTTTATTCTGTTCTATTGGTATGAAGGTCTAGTCAGAGACATATTAGGGGCAGCAACGGAAGTTAGGAGTGGTAGAGGTAGACCTAGATTAGATTACTGTTCGCAAATAGTTAAGGACACGGGTTGCTCTAGCTTAAAGGGAATTTGAAGATTAGCGCAGGGTAGGAAAGAGTTGACGTGCGTGTCCAACCAGTCTTAGAACTGACGACCTTATGATGATGATGATATTGGTTCGTAGATTTTTGTACAGAAATACAATAAAATTAATTGTACCTACTAATATATAATTCGCATGCAGAATTCTCTACAGAACTAAGGCAACTAATCAGATATGTGTACGCATTAATTAATTCTTGACAAACATGAATATATATCTACTTTTTCTGTACATAACCATGCACAAGTACTAATAAAGGCCCCTAAGACTGAAACATGAAAAAAAATTGATTTCGCTTAGTTTGTGCATTTTCGTCATATGTTTCAACAGAAAACCACTGAATAATGCACATAATAAACTTAAGATATTTTCGCAAAAACTTCAAAATATGCATACAGATAAAAAAGTAAAATTCACGACATACTTACCCACCTAAAATAACAATAAAATTTAAGCTCGTTTTCTTTTTTGAGAAGAAAATCAAATTCTTCTCCAAGGAGTAAATACAAAACAAAACGCAGTTACCTATCATTTAAGGAATTGAATGAGTCAAAATTGAGCACAACGTCCAAAATGATCTTAACACAAGAAAACACCAATTCCTGTACATGCACATGATGAAGGTACATTAGGCTCTTTTGCACAAAACAAACAGCAAATGGTTTGATACGATATGTAACTGATAACGAACGGTGTCGACGAACTAATGAAGATGAAGGATGTTTGATGAAGATGATAATATTGATAATGATACCTATAATAAAGCCACCCTAATTTTCAGCAAAACGTCAAACAATTCGCCTCACCTTATTAAACAAATTGGCTATGTACAAACAACATTTGGACGTCGGCATTATTAACACCAGCAGAATGACGTAGAAACATCGCTGAAAAACCAAAACATATTCAGTACAACACGTAAAATGAATGTGATAACAAACAGGGTGTACGCCATACATGCATACATATTTTAGCATCATAGTATGATACAACGAAATCAACATTCGCCAAATAAATACATATAGAAATACGTTGTATCACTTTTTTCTCTTTAAAAACTGTTATCATTATGTTCAAGGTGTTTTGTAAATGTTGCAACAAAGGAATGCATCACTTTATCCTTCCTTTGTAGTAATATTGTTTAATGAAGTACAACAAACAGGTAATACACGCCATCTGTGCTCATCGATTCGACACGGTCCTTTTTAATTAAACATTTCGAATGCTGATTATTATTTAATATTCTACTAGTTTGGAACAACTATACCTAATACATCTTATAAACGAACGTTTAAAAATAACTAAATGTCTACAGTCTTAAAATATTCATTCACACGACTAACGCCTCGTGCATGAGTTTCAGCCATTGTGGCAAAGAGATTTCACTCACGTCAGTAATTAATTTATATTCACGTCAACTACGTTTCGTGTGTTTGTACTTAAAATCATTATCTTCACCTAGGTAAAATATAAAAGA